TTTTTCAAGCCTTGCTTTTTTGCTCAGGGTTTTGTGTTTTTTTTTTCATCGGCTTTTTTTTTTTTTTTTTCTCTCCCTTTAAAGGCTTTGAGTGTCTGGGCTATGCAATACTGCCCTCTGACGCTGTGCAATAATTTAAAAGAAAATTTCTTAATGTCAGTTTTGCCACGTCATTCCTTGTTTTGGCTGCTGTTCTGATTTTTTTACTTTTTACATCTGATTGAAATTATGCCATGCGATGAGAAATCTGTAGTAACACTGAAATGTCTCAGGCAATCACAATGTTTCCTGTGTCTGAACACATCTCAGTGATTTTACAGTGAATATACCAAAAGGCTCCATGACATATTCAAAATGTTCAAGGGAGTTTCCTTTTCCTCATAAAACCTTTTGAAAACTATGTGATGGAATTACTGAAGTAGATGCATTTCAGATCTTTAAAAAATATATAGATCCTATAAAGAACTCTTAAGGACAAAGAGGGAGAACAAAGAATTTTTAAGTAAATTACTGAAAGAATTTCCTTACACCTTTCAAAAATCTGCATTACTACCACTGTAGAATCTGATGAGAGAGTAACTACTTTATCTGGGTAAAGTTACAGCTAGTGTAAAATCCAAAAGTTGAGATTAATTCACCAATTTTATATCAGCTGAGGAGTTTCTTGTCATATCTCATGCTAAGGAAAAAGTTCTGTAAAAGGCTGGATAAACATGAATTTTTTGCAGGATAGGAAAATGTTATTTCCTTAGCAAGGCTATCTCTGCTACATAACATCAAGAGCCGCAATTAGGTATAACACAGTGTGTGAAAATATCAAACATGCTATTCTTAGAGTGTATATTTCTGAAATGGGATAGGTGCGAGAAAACACACAGTCAGTCCTTAAAGCATCTGGTTTAAAAGCTAGGATGCCCTCTGACACTATTGCCAGGAAAAGCAGCTTCTCTTTCCAGGGATAGTTAACCATTTTTGGAATATCCTTCCACCCACTGCAAAAATCACCTTCCTCTTCTTTTTCACCACCTTTATACTCATTGTAAATGCTACAGTACCTGAAAATGAAAACCTTGACATGATGGTTGAGCCTTCTGTGCTGACATGTGCATATGTCTTGGTGCATCTGCGTCTTGACAGTTTTGTTAGAATGCTAATAGACAGGTTGTCACTTCTCATGCCAGCTTGCTGGCATAAATGATGTAAGTATATTTGCAATTTTAAAAAACGTTGCATTTCCAATGCCATCTGGGAAGGAGGAGTGTTCAGACTGGACAGATATCTGCCAGACACTTGTAGTTGACAGAGTACAGCTGCTGTGTGCAGGCTCTGGTAGGTACTGCTTGGACATGCGAATACATACCTGTTTAGAATTTTTATATCAAAAACTCTAATGATTTAATAAGAAATCTGTGGGTGTTTTAGCAAACAATATGCTTAAGAAAATTACCTTGGTGTACTCTCTTTCTATTCTCTATCTAAAGGTATGTTGGAGGACATCGGACAAGTAAGATCATGAGAATTGTGGATAAAATTACTAAGTCAAAGTACTTTCAGAAAGCAACAGAGACTGAGTTTATTAAGAAGAAAATTGAAGAGGTCTCCAATACTCCATTGCTGCTAACAGTTGAAGTACAAGAGTGCAGAGGAACACTAGTAATTAACATTCCGCCTCCACCTACTGACAGAATCTGGTAAGAGGAACTTAATGCAGAATGGGGCAATGTTTCAGGTGTGTGCTACCCAAGGGATTGCAACTAAGAAAAAAGGTAAAGTGTAGCTGAAATGGGTTCTGGAAGAGGTGCAATACAAACTAGTTGTAAATGAGGTAGGAACTGCTATTAAGAGAACATTGACAGTGAACGCATTTAAGTATATGCTTCGTTGGAGTGTTTATAAGAAAACCTGTTCTGTGTACTCTCCTAAGGTATGGCTTTCGAAGACCTCCCTACCTGGAGTTAAAAGCTCGGCCAAAACTTGGAGAGAGAGAAGTGACTCTCGTTCATGTAACTGACTGGATAGAGAGGAAACTAGAACAAGAGTTTCAGGTGTGTTTCCTTTACATTTTCATTTAATTAACGATAGTTTTTGTCTATTAGAGGGGTGGGTTTTTTTTAAATTTTTGCATGTCCCCTATTCCATTCAAGACTAGTCGGTATCCTCCACTGCTCCTGTTCAGTGGAAAAGCTGTTAAGAACTCAGCTGAAACTGACTTCTGGGGTGGTTTCAAGACCTGGGTGTGTAGACCTGGATGGAAATCTGTTTTAGCACTTCTCAGAATGATTTTAGAGATGAAAATGCCATTTCTTTCTTACTAGGTCAGAATTTGTAGTACCTAAATAAAAACATGATCCTAGGTGTTCTTAGGTAATAGAGGGCCAAACTGTTGTCTAAACTTATGAACAGATGAGGCAGTAAGGTGTCCTGTTACTACTTCCTTTAAAGTAAAATAATTTTAAAAAAATCACATTGACCATAGTGCAAAATAGGAAAAAATCTCCAAATTTACAAATACTTGTAGGACAGGAAAACAGTTTACTGACCAGATTCATTCCCGACACCAACCTGTACAATCAACCAGAAATCAAAGCCACTGATTTCATTAAAAGTACAGTTTGAAAGTATATGGGTAAGAGCTGAGGAAGCATCAGAGTTAAGAAAAGTTGGTATGTTTCCTGTAGTGTCATTCCAATTTAATGGAAAGTGCAGAGATCTTTGTATTTCTGAGCTTCGTCTACAACTGTAACACAACTAAATGGCTTGAGTTAACAGACACTGTATGGCTTCAAGTACAGGCATTGACTCAAACAATGTTAACTCAATAACCTTTTATCTGGAAATTTGTTGCGTTTTTTAACTAAACAAATTGGAAAACTAAGGTTTCAAGTGGCATATGAAATGTAACGATTTAATCACATCTTTTTCACAGAAAATCTTTGTCATGCCAAACATGGATGATGTTTATATTCCTCTAATGCACTCAGCCATGGATCCCCGCTCCTCTACATGCCCTCCTAAAGAGCTGGTCACAGAGGCCCCTGATCAACCATGACGTGTGAAGACTCTTGCAGTTTACAGTATTATAAAAGTTATTCTCATGGTTTTATAAACTGTGCTGTAGTTCTCATCCTTAACTTGTGCCACTTTCTGCCCCCCAAGGACTGCCTATAACCATACCTTTGTGCTCACTTGCCTGGTTATTGTTCCTGTGTACTTCAGCTACATGAAGTTTCATTCCATTAAGTAGTTGATTTATTTTTGTACCGGCTGCCATCAGGATTTTAACTCAGAGGCTAAGATGACCTGTTCTTTGGGGAGGGAGGAGGAACCTAACTGTAATAGATCAAGGAGCTTGATGACACACCTTTTGTTCAGCTTATGTTTTCATGCTATGTTAATGTGCATTAAAGCATTGAAAGGTTGTTTGGCAGCAAATGAACTGCGTGCCAAATGGAAAAAAATCCTAAATAAGGAATGAATTTATAAAACTGGAAGAATATTTTTCTTTCTCAGGCAGTTGGAGGTGTAGAATGAACTGTTTTATGTTCTTTCACTTCTGCAGTCAATAGCTTGTGTCAAGCAATCGAAATATGAAATGCTTTCAGGATAAAAGAATGTAAATTGGATGTATAGGTAATATTGTGATTCAATGTGGTATATACATATTACTTTTTTCATACAGAACTTGTGCTTTTTTTGGGAAGCAAGTAGCCATAAAACACACACAACTATCAGTGAAGGTGAGACTGTCAGATTTTTGTAAATGAGGAGAAAAAAGTTGGTGAAGCCATGAGACCAAACCATAGCAAGCCGCCTTATAGTGAGGTACAATCACCTTGGTTCATGATTAATTCTGAATGTTTATAAAGACATGAGCACACACATGAAATGTCTAACACCGCACATTACCAGAAGTACCGAGTTACCCTACTGCGTATAGAGCCTCTTGCTACAGTGAAACACACCGCGTTTTTTCTTATAGGAGAATTTGTTGCTGTGAGTCTTTTCCATTGCACTGTGTTTACACACAAAGCATGGGACCAAATCCTCACGTTACAGCCGTGCAACTCCAGGCATCAAATCGCTTGATGTTTGTGAAAACAGCCGTGACTGAAAGATTTTGACCCCCGTGCATTGGCTTTTTGGACTTTGTGGAATAGGAATTCAAGCATTGCAGTTATTCAAGCTGATTGCGGTGTAATTAAAGACTGTTTCTGCTAATTAATGGCCAAAACTAAGGGGGGAGGGGAAACTGCCTTTTCTTTCTGTCTGGTATAGAGTCAAGACTAAACGTATGCAGTAAATTCAATATTTGAACACTACATATCCACTATTTAACACATGTAATATTTTTCTGATACTCGGTGTTGCCAACTGTTCATGGATGTCAGAAAACGTTTTAGTTTACAAAGAAGGTGAGTTTTGGCTCTCCTTTTATAACATAATTTGCTTTTTTTTTTAGAAGTAATTTTTTAAGAACTTTTTTGTATGTTGTGTTGTCACATTTGATGTAAAACAAAATTTCCACGTGTAACTTGATGATTTACCATCTCTAAATGAAGCTATTATATTGAAGGTTTTTTAAACAGCACCTTGCCTGAAACATAAAAGAAAACTAGCATTTAATATATTTAAAATTAATTCTATATTTGAACACCTATTTTGGTTACCTTTAATTGAAATATTAGTAGGTTATATTTCTTACCTGAACTCCTCCTTGACCATTCCAGGCTGTGTATATTCTGGGGTTTGCTCTGATTATGTAGGCATTATTTGCCTTTCATGAAGTCTGCATGTCTTGTACGCAGGTCTTTTATATGATTTAATTTCTATGTGCAATAACTAAAGTCAAAAGACTAGATGCACTAATGTGTAAACAGATGTAGACTTATTACACAAGATTGTCGTATTGCACTTCATAAACTGTGGGTAACTACAATCTGCTTGCTTTGTTTTATTAAATAAATTTATCCCATGTCAAACAATTATTCAGTTAAGAGTTATTTGTACATAGTGCTTAGCCATTATCTTCTGCATGTTGTTTCAAAGTCTTCATTAGAAAGGCAACTTGCTAAGACAACACACTCTATGTGCTTTGCAGATTTTTTTTTTTTTTTAAATATACCTGAGTTGGGTATATTATTGGGTCTACTTGGTGGTTATGGCCTATGATGATTTAGGGTTAACCAACACTGGGACTGTTCTAGCTCTAAAAGGAAAAAGCTTAAATGGAATAATTTTACTGTAGTGAAGAGAAACTACATTTCACTGCAGCAGCTAGTGATTCACAAGGAACATGCTTTAAACCGGTTTTTTTTTTCATTTTACAGCTGTGAAAACCTTGAAATGATTACCAGGAATTACAGACCAGAGGTGGGATGCAGTACCCTCTGCGGTAGGCTTGCTGGTGAAAGCCTCTCTGAGCTTAAGCATGTTTTACCACCTTCCTGGATTCAGCTACTCCTCTTGCATGTCTGATCCGGTCACCAGTCTGGGTATAGATGTAACTCTTATATATACAGAACACATCGTCTACCTCTAGCCTCTCTGCCTGCAGGACAGCACAAGCACAGCTCTTAACAGACAGACAAGATGGAGGCCCTTTAAATAGCTGCAGCTTAGGTCACTGGCATCAAATTCCCATTTTGTTTCGAGTTCTCTTCTGCTGTGCCCATCAAGCACGCCCATCACTGGATGCTTTTCTCCTACTTAATAGCTTCCTTCATCCAGGTGCTTTACTCCTGCAACAGCTCGGCAGGAATCCCAGGACTTCTGCTACTTGTTCCAAGCCCCTTTTACAAGCTGAACCCTGACCTACTTCAGCAGCAGACGCAGGCTGCCGTGGCGGCAAGGCCAGCAGCGTACGGCGCGCGCTGGCCCCTTCCCGAGCAGGGCACCGCCTCCTCCCCGTCAGGCCGCGGCGCCATTTTGTGCGGCGGCGGCAGCGCTGGCAGGGCTCGCCCGGAGGAGCTGTAACTTGCTTTTAAAAGCGCCACCCGGGTCGGGCCGGGCAGCCCCAGTTATGAACAAGCGCTTCGCTCTAGCACTGCAGCTTGGCCAGCGGCGCCGCGGGCAGGGCACCCCGCCGGGTCAAAGGCAGTGCGGGGAACGGGCGGACACGCGCGGAAGAACCAGGCGGACACGTTCACCGGGTGCACACAGCTTTATTTGCCAGGCCGCTCCCCGCCGGTCACCGCACGGGCCCTGCAAGACACGAGGGAAAAGGGGAGGTTACAGACGCCGTGCACCGCAGCCGCCCCGCCGCGGGGGCGGCAGCCTGGGCGCTCAGTAGTAGGTTTGCTTCATGCATGTCAGCAGTCTAACACGTGTCAAGAGACATCACCGCGGCCCGGCCTGCCCGCCCGTCCACCCACGCCTCCCGCCGCCAGCTCTCACCTCCCCTCGCTGCGCTGATAGAAAGGCCGACGTCCCCCGTCGCCTCCCTTTTATAGAGCGACCGCCGCTAGGTACCCCGCCCCTCCTTGTCTCGTCCAATAGGATTCAAAGGCGGGAGCACGTGCTGATCCGCGTAGGCGGAGCTGTGGGGCGGGCGGGGTGGGGGGGCGGGGCTCCCGCCCACAGCGGCCGAGGCGGGGAGGCGCTGAGATGGCGGCGGGCGGGCTGAGGTAAGGCTCTGAGAGAGCCTGGTCAGCCCGCGCTGCCCCGGCGTGCTGGGTAGCTTTATTCGCCTTTTCAGAAACAACGGCACTCTTTTCTTTAGTAGTTTGCTCTAGCACTTTGTCGCTGTTAAGAAATAGGGCTTAGTATTACAGGTGTAAAAGCTGAGGCCCCCCTCGGACCTCAGAGCTGCCTGCCTCAGAGGTGGTTCCTCAGGTTCTGAGGAGAGGTGCCCGCGGAGCGGGAGGGCGCAGGGCTACGCTCGTCTTCCCGCCCCGGGTGGCCGCCTCAGCCCGTGTTTTTGACGTTGTTCCTACGTCCTGTGAGGCCGTTGGGAGGGACTTGTGTTAAATAAGTACAATTTGGTAGCGGCGTACGCACTGTTTGCGCAGCTGAAAACCTCCTCCGTTAACGTAGCATGGCGTGAAATTCCGCTTGAGGCTAATGAAATGGTACGTAAAGAGGTGGCGATATTAGAACGCTCGCCAGCCGATTTCCAGAGGCGAGGAGGGACGGCAGCTCCGTGCCCAGCCCCGGGCAGGCGGGGGCCGTGGGAAGGGGAATGCTGCCCCCCCGTGGTACCCGCGGCGCCCCGGGGCGGCGGCCGGCCGGAGGCAGCGGGGCCAAAGCGGTTCCCTGCCGTGTCCTCCGGGGAGGCCCCGTTCTTACACAGCATCGCGTCTGCTGCTTACACAGGCGCGGCTGCCCGCGTTACCTGTCGTGGTGTGCGCTTACGAGGGCTTTCTGTGCGTGTGGGAGAGCTCTCGGTGTGTTCCCTGTGCCTGCTGTTGCCATGGCACGCACAAAGCAGGGTGGTAGATGGTCTGCTTGTTCTCAAATGGTGTGACTGCTTAAAATCCAAGACCGCCATAAAGAAACCCATCTGTCGGTACCGGAGAATGGCAATCTCGGCGTGGCTTGTAGCTCCAGGATGTTTTTATGTATTCAGACTTGCAGGTTAGATCATAATTATGCCTCCTGCCCATATAATCAAAAGCACGCTTATAAAAAGAGGGAGCTGCCAGAGCTGATCTGTTATGCACATATTGCATACTTAGTACTCAGTGTGCTCTGCAGCTCCATTAATGATACCAGTATTAAAAAGCAAACAATGCGTAGGAAGGACAAAGTGGCTTTGTTATATAAATAGGCGCCTGAAAGCTAGGCCTTTGCCAAGCAGTGCAAATTTACTCTCTTCTTAAAGCTTCTTCCATTTGGTTCAGTATTTTTTGTGTTTATTTTTACCTGTTCAGGGGAGCTTGGACCTGGGTTTTGGTTCAAAGAGGCATGTTCTTTGGTTTTGCGTTTATTTAAGGCATTGCAACGCACACCAGGGTCAACAGTGATTTTACCAAAACAGGAGCTATGCCAGATAACTTTGGCCTGATCTGCTTTGAAAACAAAAAAAAAAAAAAAATCAATAGGGAAATTCTACCGGGCAGGGCGGTGCTGGAGGAGGGAGGCTATTCGTTAAGCCTGAATTTACCCATCAGGTGTTTTAAAAAAACCAGCAGCAGCCAGCCAGCTGTCACTGCACCCCGCCGCTTAACGCGCCCAGGGCTCTTGGCCGAG